AGTCTCTCTCCCTCACAGTGACCATGCTCTTCATTAGCAATAAATCTCTGTTATAGAGCAGAAACTGCAAAATTAGTACACAATCCATCTGGCACTTACTACTCTGAGCAAACTGCTCACTCTGGAAATTGTTTAAAGCTTCACGGAATGTAGACAAGAAAGCAGGAGATACAAACCCAAGGGCTTTGCATGAAATGTTTTATCAAACACAGAACTTTTCACAATGAAAACCAATTGATCTGTATGTAAAATAAACTAAATGCAGAACAAGCCTGACAAAGTGGAAACGTAGCCCAGAGGCTGAGTTTGACAGACCCCCTCCAACTGAGGCTGCCATGGGCAACTCCTTTTGATCTGGATCAACAGGTTTCTGATATGAAAAGAAAGCCTCTCTCTCCATGCAATCAACAAGTGCTGCACGTTTGGTTTATACACAGTTGTGCTGAAGTCAGTATTGGCATGTAAATACTTGCTCTTCCTGTCCTCAGCTAACCCAGCTTATCTGTGATTCCATGGAAAGTTCATCTAACTGTTTGTTTCAAAGCCCAAACCAGATTCCACACGTTCCCCTTGCTCAATGCTCCAGCTGGAAGTTGTTTTCTGTTTAAAGACTGAGATCTTTGTAGTAACCACTTGAGTAGGAACATCACCTAAAGAGATTTTACTAGAAAACCTGGAGAGATTCCTGGACAGACAACGTCTTGCATGGGGATTTCCAGTCAGTCAACCTTTCCCTGCTGTTCACAATATGACCAGCAGCTCCCCATTCTTAAAGCTAATACTTCCTGATAAAAAATGCTGATACTTTCAGCATTTCAGCATAGAAACCTACACAAAAATATGGCCCCAGCTGTAGATAAGACCAGCTGGGCAAGAAGTGAAGCCATAAACAGTTAGTGCAATATGCCTCAAGTGCAGATGTCTGTGAAGAGTAGGAAATCATCTTCCAGGACTGAACTAGAGCAAGAGGATATTGATAGAAGGCAAGATGGGATTCTGCAACCAGAGCACCAAGTGCCTCTGTACCAGCAGGAGGTGTGTTTGTTGAGTAAAGCAATAAAAAATAAATTAAAAAAAAATAATTAAAAATCTGCATCAACCCTTGACTAGTCCAGCAGACTCAAACTGCCTTTTGAAGGCAAACAGAAGCTTTCTTCCTATTTCTAATTCAGGTCCCCAGGGGCTAGACTAACAGATAACCCCTCTAACCTTTTCCCACCCAGTTTAACCTGGTCTTCTCCATTGCTTTCACCACAATCTTCTACCAGCCTCTGTTTCATTCTTGCTACACTCTGAATTACACCTGAACATGTCCCCACAGGGCAAGGTATGCTCTTTGTGAGCACTCTGGCTCACTACCAGCTCCCAGAGAAGACACACTGACAGCATCACGAAAGCTGCCTCCTTATTTCTTCAGCCAGCAAGTGTTAATTCGTCACACAGAAGTTTCAGTTCGTCTCAACATGAAGCAAAATGGGCTATTTTTAATCATCAACAGACATACTAAGACATGCCCATTGGAGAGTATATCCCAAGCCTTCTCATGGCAGGAGCTGAAAGGCATGGAAACATCTGGATGGAATTTCAGGACAGCACAATGCTCTTCCCATGGAGCCTGCACCGTGCCCAGGACACCCACTGGAACCAGGCAAACACTGCCCAGACACAACCCACCACAGCCTTTCATACTCACTCGTGGTGATCACTAAAGCTCTGAAGAAGCCTCAAGAACTGTATCTTTAAAGTAATGTCCTAAAAAGAGAAGAAAAAAGTCAAAAGAATTTGCTTTAGGATTTTGGGATGGCATTAAGTTACCGAGCTGACCCAAACTGAATTGAAAACCTCTCCAAATCAAAGCCATTTGGACAGCAAAGCAAGTGACCTGCAGCAATGGAGAAGGCTGCACTTTGCAGGCTTCCCATTATAGAAGAGATTGCCTCCAAGCCTATGCATGGAACTGTTATCAAAATCTCTTCTCACTGTAAAGGCAAAAGCAGCTCATCACTGTATTGAATGATTTCGAGTATCTAGGTTTGGGGAAAACAAACAAGGATAAAAACATACCCACACCCTATCAAAAAAAACCCAACAAAATAAACTTAAAGGGACACCAATCCATTCTTTGTTCTGTGCCTCTCCTTGCCAGACCCACTAGCTATTGTTTCCTTAAGCTTTGGTTGTCTTCTACCTTTGGCCTCCAGGGAGGGAGCACAGAATGTACCCTTTTCTCAGCTGCCAAACTCAGAAAAAGGGCAACTGGCCCCTGCTAAACTCCTAACATGCCTCAAAGATAAAGACTTCAGTGAAAAGAAGTCATTCACAAAAACCTGAATGCTACCACATCTCAAGTCATTCATGACACAATCCCCCAGTCAATCAGTACAACTCCTCAGTTAAGTGCTAAGATAAAAAGCCAGTAAAGAAGTTAGAAAGTTACTCACTGGGCTACAATCACAATTTTGATTGTGTCCATGCAGAACAAGGGCTGAAGCTGAATGCTTTCTCCAGATCAGTTTGTCAAACAAGTTGTTGAGGCCAGGAATCAGTTTGAACTCTGCTATCATTTTATGAACCTGGAAAACAAAGAGAAGCACACTTGCTGCACCCTCAGATATGGATATAATGTTGTCTGGTAAACAGATGGGCACAATTATGTCATCCTCTGACAGCAGAAAGTGAATTCCTTTATCAAACAGTGTGTGTCTGTGTTAACATGCACACTAACCACGGTGAATCATTAGTTTCCATTTGGTGAACATAGAAAACAGACACTTTGGGAGAAAGTTGTTAGCCAGTGCTTCTGGAAGCCCCTTTGGACATTGGGAGATCCCTTACAGCACACTGAAAATACATCTACACTTAACCTCTGTATCACAAAACCAAGCTGTGAAGGTGCTGCTGCCAGTCACCTACTGAGGGCCCTTCTGCTTCCGAGCTCCTGCAGCAGAAGCTGAGGGAGTCCTCTGACCACAACACAAACCACCAACCATTTCTGTCCAAGTGATCCAGGCAGGAGTTCTGAGCACAGGAGAATCCAGCAGTAACACAACCACACTGCAGTTCAAGCACTGCTCCTTCAGGTTAAGAGGAAGCTCAACTTCTTTAGAAAATGCTCAGAAGAAAATGCCAAACTTCTCAGCTTTATTTATCTTTCTGCCTGCCAAGCCAGGACATGGTTCATCATGGCACGTTTGAAACAGGCTATAGAGCTAATAAGGTCATAATTTTCCTGTCATCAGCTGCTGGATACCTTCAGTCCAAGTTTTGGTGCTTCTGATGTCATTTGGAAGATGAGGAATAGGAAAAGTACAGTGGGACTCTAATCCTGTGTGTTACAGATGAAAACCACACATGCTTGTGCAGCCCAATGTGCTGTAAATATTAAGTGCCCAAGGCAGTAATGAACATGGTTCCTTAATATCAAGTCACCTAAAGAACAACCTAGGTCATCCCTGGGATGCAGAATTATTACTAGCAGTATTATAAGCAGCTCAGTCCATTTTGTTCTATTTCCTCAAGTACCTGAATGAGTGAAATAGATTTGAAGCTGATGCTATTTTACAGGTTTTCACCGTTATTCTTGTTCACAGCAGAACTTGGGCATCCCTCGTGGCTGTAGTCACCAACTTTCCCACCTAGATGGAAATCACATTCCTG